GCCCGGCGGCGCTCGGCTCAGGCCCGCGGAGCAGGTACCGGCGCCCGGCCGCCCGCCCGGAGGGGGCCCCTGGGCCCGGCCCCGCCGCGGGCTCCCGCTCCCTGAGCTCCGCACTCCGCGCTGCTTCCTCCCGAGCGGGAGCCGGGGCCTCCTTGTGCCGGGCCAGGGGAGGAGAGGCGCCCAGGCCGGGCCGGGCTCCCCCTCGGCCGCTGTCGAGCGAGGGCCGCGGCCTGGCAGAGCGGAGCCGGTTCCTCCCGGGCTGGCCCCCATGGAGGGAAAGGGGTCACTGCGTGCTGGCCGCCCCCAGCGCAGCGCCTGGGCTGCCCAGGGCTCTGCCATTCGGCTGAGGGGAGCAAAAATCCCTTGGGGCCGATTAAAACTGTTTGTTTTGTTGTCTTCTCCCTGCTTTAAAATGCAATGAATCTAAAGAGAGATAATAGCTAACAACCAGCCATAGCGTATGAGATAGCGACCCTGTCTAAGAACTGTTAGAAGTTTAAGGTTGATGTAAATAAGCGGTCTTTCCCCTTGGATTGACTAGTGAAACTTTTACTTTCTTCCCCCATCCAGAATAGTTCTTCTGGAGACTAACCCCCCTGAGAGACAAAAATGACCTCAATTATCAAGCTGACCACGCTCTGCGGCGTGCAGGAGGAGTCTGCCCTCTGCTATCTACTGCAAGTGGATGAATTTCGCTTTCTGTTGGACTGTGGCTGGGATGAGAACTTTTCCATGGATGTTATTGATTCACTCAGAAAGTAAGTAGGTGTTTGTGTGTGTTGGATTGGGTTTTCTTTCTTTTTTTTTTTTTTTAAGCGTTGTTCATAAGTTTTTCAAGGGTTACTTAGTTTTATATATATGGCGCTGTTAAATCCTCAAAGAGTTCTTTTCATTTGAGGATATCATTTAATTTTAAATGAATGAGTGCTAATGTATTTCCAGTAAAAAAAAAAAAAAAAAAATCTGTTTCTTGTGAGCTAACATCACTTCAAGTTACTCAGATTCTCAAACTTTTGCTTTTGTTTTGGTTTAGATTTTTGTTTTTCATGAGTAAAACACTGATCAGAGCCATTGGGAAACAGAGCTGGGTTCTAAACTGATACAGAACAGTTAACTAAGTTTTAAATCTCTTTGCATTAAAAAAAAATAAAGGTAAAGTGCTTTGTGTTTTGCCTTCTGTTTCAGGTTTAACGGATAGCTGGAGAAAAGATTGTATTAGTGTTCCCACACCTGCAGAGAAATAAACACATCTAGAGTTTTATACTGAGCTTGTGTAGGTTCACAGTGGGGAAACTTCCTGATGTGCATATTGATTGCAGAGTTAAGTCTGCAACATGGAAATTCCTGAAAGAAACCAAGCCTTCTGATGCGTTTTTTAGACTTACTTTTCTTGACTTTGACATACTTGTCTTTTAACTGAGGATTATCCATGCTAAGGATAACTTCTAAAGTTTTGTTAAGTGACTTACCTTAGAAGCAATTAAACCAAATCTCCTTTTCAAGAAGAATGTCCCTCAAGAATGGTGCATATGTCTGCGGCTAGTGAGGGGATCCAAATGTTGGACAGGGAAACTTGAATTGATTAAGATGAAAGAAACATTTTGATCTCATTTGTATCAGTTCAAGGTACATTAAGGTCTTTTCCCTTGGCATTGCTTATCTGAATAACAGCTATAGTCTGTTTTGGATTAAAGTATAATCTTTTTTTGATATGTAAACATTTTATAACATGGCTTTGCACTGGAAATATTTTTGGCCCCTCTGTTAGTATACTTCCTAATGTTGATGTATCCAGAACTTACTTTCCAGAGTTCCTATGTGTTCCTGTGTTCCTATAATTACATTTTCTGAATGCATATTTGTTACTTGAGTGTCTGAAAATATTTGTAAGCTTTTTAATTATGATTTTATTCTTGATGTAGAAGGATTTATTTCTTGTCATTTGGCATGCAGATTGTGCTCTTACTTTCAGAATGGTTGTGATAAGGAGTATAGAATACAGTGCAGACCATCTTTTCACTAGCTCCTTTTGTTGTTTTGTTTTTGCAGACATGTTCACCAGGTCGATGCTGTTCTTCTTTCTCATCCTGACCCCTTACATCTTGGGGCACTTCCATATGCAGTTGGAAAAATGGGCTTAAACTGTGCCATTTATGCAACTATTCCTGTATATAAAATGGGACAGATGTTTATGTATGATCTCTATCAGGTATGCTTGCAGCGATATTTTCAGGGACCCTCTGATACGATAGAACGCTCAGCTTCTTGAATGTCCTTGCTTTTTAATTTGTTTTAGTCCCGCCATAACACAGAAGACTTCACTCTCTTCACGTTGGATGATGTTGATGCAGCCTTTGACAAAATACAACAGCTGAAGTTTTCTCAGATTGTCAACTTGAAAGGTAAAACTTTTCTGTCAGCAAACGTTTTGATAAATGTCTCATGTTTTAATGGCTCAGTTGCATTTCACTATGAATTAAGGTAACTTTTTAGGAAGGAGTAGGTCTCTGTATTCATGCCTTGAACACAGACTTCTAAAGCAGGCCTGTGTTGCTCTGTATCAGCTGATGATCTTCCTCAGTATTTGTATTTAGAAATGGGTAGAATTTCCTCTTAAATTAGCACGGAGAAGACTCACTCTTTATTAATTTTCCCACTTGGCAGAGTTTGACTCTGCCAAGTTCAGTTTAGGCATTTGTTTTTCTTTGATATTTTTCAGACTTTTCTTGGAATTTACTTATGTCTCTAAAAAGCATTCACTCATGCCAAGTTGTAGGTACGACTTTACAAAGGGAAAGACTTTCTGGAGGATGAATAGGTGACCCACTTGAAGTGTCTGGGCAAGGAGATTTTGGCAGACTTTGCATGGTATTAAGTATGGCTTAATGTTGAGAACTGGCATTCTGAGAATCAGCTGCTGCTTACTCTTGCTGAGTTTAAATATCCAAATGAAATGGAAGTCCTGGTCTTGCACAAATCATGCAGCCTGATTGCCTGTAGCTTGTCAGAGTTGCATCATCTCCTAGTACCTGAATGTTATTTGCCAAAATACTCTATAATATGGAGAGGAAAAAAAGAAAGTGGGAAATTATCATTAAAAGGCTGTTGACCCTTTCTACAGATATTAGCTTTAAAGTAGGGTTCTGTCCATGCTGATGGTTTTTTACAGTCTATGAGGAGTTTAGTGAACTTCTATTCTGTAACACCTCACTCCTTCCATATTTAATTGAAGTGACTCAAAAAGACTTGATAAATTATCAAACAAGGTAACACATGTTTTATTTTTTGCAAAAGCTGTGTGCATTTGTGCAAACCAGTGGAATACAGCAACGGCAGGGAGCATTTGTCATGGGTGATCTAGTCTGATGCTACCAAAGATCTAGTTTAGCACCAATGACAAGGAGCAACAGGGCTTTAAAAGAAGTCACCAGGTGCTGAAAAGCCTTGTCATTCCTGCCTTGTGCTGCAGCCTGTCACAGCCCCCCTTCCTGCAACCCTTTGCAGTTTGTGTGTGTGTGTTGTTGAGGTGAATTTCCAGTCTAATTTCCATGTGTTTTATAAGTACCTGGACCATGAGTGATGTAGTAAATATTCTAGATCGTGCAGAAAAGAGGCCTGCTGGGCCTCTGTACTCAGTACAAAAGAGGCCTACAAGGCTCACAGGTGCCCTTGCTTTGGTATTTTATGCATGTTACGGAACTCACTGTTGCTTAGGTGCATGGTTACAGCAGCAGAATGCTCTGCCTTTGTGAACTGGCAAAGTAGGGGAAAGAAGTGATTTTTGCTTTAGTTTTTTTTCCTGGGGGCAGAGTAGAAGTGAATTGCAAAACAAATTTCAACTCTATGCAGTTATTGGCTAGATGTGAAGGAGGGATAGATTACTTAGTGATTTACACACTTAATTTGAATTAAAAATTCAAGTGATTTTATTCATTATTATTATTATTATTCAAATGAATAATTCAAATAACTTCCATATTTAGTTTTAAAATTACTGTGTTTTATTTAGAATAGTGAATTTTAATACATATACCTGAAACACTGAAAGTTTTTTAAAATGACGTTTCTTTGTAGGCAAAGGCCATGGTCTGTCAATCACACCGTTGCCAGCTGGTCACATGATAGGAGGCACAATCTGGAAGATTGTCAAAGATGGAGAGGAAGAAATTGTTTATGCAGTCGATTTCAACCACAAGAGGGAGATGTATGTTCAAAATAGTCAAGTCTGTTTCTTGCTTGTTGTGTTAAGTGTGTGTAATCATTGCATGATAGATAAGTAGTTTTGGAAGTCTCAGTCTTCACTAGGCTTCTTAAGACCACTGTTTTCTGTTTTTGTTCAGCTGAATTTGCTTAATCAATTTTACACATCAACTGTGGATTTATTCATTCCCTTCAGATTTATTTATTTGTATTTGTATTTATTTGCAGATTTATTTATTTGTATTTATTTATTTATTTGAAGCAGGAAACTTTTGTTCTTGCCATTTGAAAAAAGAATATCTCACTCAAGAAAGGAAACAACAATACAAAATTTTTGGCTGTGTATATTAAAAAAAAACATTGTTTTTTTGCTTTCACAGAGACTGTTTTGCTTTAGAAGGGATAAAGAGGAACTTACAATGTATTACAATTCAACTTTACTTAGCAATTCAACTTTACAACAATTCAACCAAGAAGGATTTGAATTGAGATCCCATTAAAGTATCATAATTATGTTTAAGGGTGGGATGCAGCATTTACCTTTTAGGAAGAAGTCCAGGGGGATATAAAACATGCGGTAAATTTTTTAATAGACAAAATTGTCTACAGAACTACCTGGTCCTTAGATCTGGGAACCTTTATGTTTTTAATTGTGTGGGGTTTTTTTTAGTGGGGAGAAAATGCACTTTTTCTACCTTAGACAAGACTTGCATGAAACATCTCATGCCTTGTTTTCCATATTTAACATCTTTATTTGAGGTAGATGGTAAAAGGCCTGGAAAATAAATATTCAAATAAGATGGTTTTTATGTTTGACATTAATTTTTTTTACGAAGCTCAGTTTAAGACAAGAAAACTTTCATTTTCAAACTAAAACTTTCAAAGCTTTTAGTTTAAGACTTAAAGTGAATGAGAAGGAAGGTAGAAAAAAAAACTGTTTGAAACTGTCACTGTTCTTTCTTGTACCTGATTTAACAAAGATGGTATCTGTGATAGGAATTAATCTCTTTCTAATAATGTATTTAATTAGGCTTTGACTTTTCTTGAACATCCTCTATTCTTGACCTGAAGTCTTTTCTTTAAGTAGTTCTCTTTCCTTCATTTCTAAGAGTCTTCAGCAACTGAATAAGATTTCTGTACATATAAACCTTTAGAAGTTAGCTCTCCATTTTCCTTATAAAATGCAAACGAGTGAGGTTTGGCCTTTTTCCACAGTCACCTGAATGGATGTTCCTTGGAAATGCTGAGCAGACCTTCGTTGCTTATTACAGATTCATTTAATGCCACTTACGTCCAGCCTAGGAGGAAGCAGAGAGATGAACAGCTACTGAGTATGTATTCTCTTTGGGGTTCAAAATAACCATAACGTGTTTTGTTAACCTTCATATTTTTTTCCTATCATCAGTTCCTCAGCATCCAAATTAAGGTTCTTCATTAAAATTTAACCTTGAGTTACTCTTTTCTTCCAGTACTAACTCTGTGATAATGTAAAACGTTTTCCTGAGAACAATGATTTGCGTTATCTCTTTGACTTTGTTTGAAAACTGTGTATTTTAGTGTAATAGTGTTTGATCTCTTCAGAGATTTTAAGTGACTTTTTTCATGATATTATTAAAAATCAGGAAAACAAAATTAAAAATTAAAAAGAAAAAGAGTATCGCTGCTCTGAGATCTGAAGTTTAATGTATTTTTGAGTTCAGTTTGCTTTTGACTGTGGTTGCTATTGGATTGTAGTGAAACACTATTTTAATTATAGTTCAAAGTAAAAGGTCTTTTTATTTGTTTGCTTTCCATTTTCAGCTAATGTTTTGGAGACCCTACGAGGTGATGGAAATGTATTGATAGCTGTGGACACAGCAGGCAGAGTTCTGGAACTTGCTCAGCTTCTTGATCAGATATGGAGAACAAAAGACGCAGGATTAGGAGTCTACTCCCTAGCACTTTTGAATAATGTCAGCTACAATGTAGTGGAATTCTCTAAATCACAGGTTAGTTTTGTAGTTTTTCAAAATAGAATTTTGACTAGGTACATGGTTTTGTGTTTCTATCTTGAATGTTCATCTTCAGATCAAGTAGCCAGAGTCAAAGCATAGGTCTGGGCTTCCATCTGCACATTGATTTTTCCATTTGTTTCATCCCAAGCTTCGTCAGCATAGCTGCAGATACTAAAAGCAGCAGCACGGATATCAGTACATTGGTAACCTTTTCTCAGTATGTCAAACATTTATGTAAACACGTACATAATGCCTTCTTTTACTTAATACTGGGTTTGTGCATCAGTTTAGAATTTGTATTCCTTGTATTTGTAGCTAACTTTGTTTTTAATACATTTTAGGTTGAATGGATGAGTGACAAACTGATGAGGTGCTTTGAAGACAAGAGAAACAATCCGTTTCAGTTCCGTCACCTCTCCTTATGTCACAGCCTGTCTGATTTGGCTCGAGTGCCTAGTCCAAAAGTTGTTCTTGCTAGTCAGCCTGATTTAGAATGTGGCTTTTCTAGAGATCTCTTCATTCAGTGGTGCCAGGATTCTAAAAACTCTATTATTTTAACTTACCGCACTACACCTGGAACGTTAGCACGGTTTCTGATTGATAATCCTTCTGAAAAAGTTATAGATATTGAGGTAAGAGTTCTCTTTATAACTTCAACTTTTTTATATGGACAGTCTGGGGGAATATGATCAAGACTAAATGTAGTTTTATTTTCATGTTTTTGACCTACTGAAAACACTTCTAGTGGCAAATGGACATCTCAAATATATTGCCTATTCAACCAATTGTGGTTAAATTTATGTAAAAATAGTACTTGCATTAAGAAACTTATGAAATGTCTTTTGGTGATGTGGCTCCAGCTTGGTGCTCATCTCAGTGTCTTAAAATACTTTGTACTAAGAGAGCACTTTTGTATCTTTTTGTTATAATAGAAAGAATTCTACTTGCAACTGATGTGCAGATAACATTGTATGATGATTCCTGCTGGAAAATCATCTGTTTCGTGTGTTGAGGGGAGAAATCAAATCGAGAGTAAAATATGGAATCACTATAATTAGAAAACTAAATGAAAGCTAGAACTAAAAAGAATACAAAGCATGACTTAACAGTTTTTCAAGAAGTTTTTCTCGTGCCTACTTATGTCTGATACAAACATAAGATTACAATGTAAAAACGTAAGATTGCAGTGAATATATTCTTATTGGGATCCAGCAGTATACATAGTGACCTAGTCTCTGATCTGACTTGTAGTAAACAAGCAACAAAACTTCTTATTGCTTTGCCAGCTAGTCTAAAGTTTGCCAAATTGTTTGTCTTTGATTAGTGACACAATCAGAGTGCAAGTTTAGCTTTGCCTGTTTCAGTTATTGAAACAGAGATGAATGCTAAAGAGTTTTGTTTGAGGGATTTTTGTAAATTGCTTGATTTTTTTTAATACTTTTAGCATGCCATTTTTCCTTAGGAAGTCTCCTTTGAGACCTTTGAAGGTTATCATGGTATTGCCATGCCAAAGTGCATAAGTCTGCATAATCTTGTATGTGAAAAAGATGTACTTACTCTTGGTACTTACTTTTCCTACGTACTGCTAATAAGGTATTACAGCTGTGTCACTCAAAATAATATTATTGATTCTGTAGTTGAGAAAACGTGTCAAATTGGAGGGAAAAGAACTTGAAGAATACCTAGAAAAGGAGAAACTAAAGAAAGAAGCAGCTAAGAAGTTGGAACAATCCAAAGAGTAAGTTTGCTGCATATTGCTGCATTCTGCTTTTGTTATCAGAGTTGAGATTTCTGTGATCAACATGGTGATTCAGCTACAGACAGATTAATATTGAACAGGGATGAGTTCAACTATGGACAGTTGAATACAACTGCAATATTTAGTTTTGAAAAGCTCATCTGAGGGCATTCAGGACTTTTGGATGATTGACTTAAGATGCTATGATGAGCCAGTCTGTTTTGTCTGATATTTGGCTGTGAGGATTTTCTCAGATATATAAACTGTCTTCATCCTCCTGAAAATATCTGGTGATCTGTGGATTGTTATTTCCCATTCAGTGTGTTTATCTAATACTAAACCCAAAGAAAAAAACAATGCTTTTTTTTTTGACATTTCAGGGCAGATATAGATTCCAGCGATGAGAGTGACGCTGAAGAGGATGTTGATCAGCCAACTGTGCATAAGACCAAACATGATTTAATGATGAAAGGGGAAGGTAATCGGAAAGGAAGTTTCTTCAAACAGGCGAAGAAATCTTATCCCATGTTTCCAGCTCCTGAGGAAAGAATTAAATGGGATGAATATGGAGAGATTATCAAGTATGTGGGGGGGGAAAAAAACCAGTCATGCTTGCTGATATAGAGTAGTTAGAGTTCAAAAGTAAAACTTGTAAAAATCAGTGTTATTTGTGCTTTGTTATTACCTGCTTTTAGAATGTGGTAACTGAAAATGTAGTTTGCACTAAATTTCATGGAAGGCTTGTGATGGCATTGAAGCTTCACAATGCTGGTCCTTGACCCTTTTAGAATGTGCGCCATGTAAGGACAATCATTGTTTTTTATTTTACAAGGGAAGATAAAAATACCCTTTGGAACCTGATTTATTCTTGTTTTTATTATGAATTGATGAAAATTATAGGTAATTACAAGAGGAAGAAACATAATTTATTCTAGGAAAAGTTAGCAATATTTGCTCTATTTGAAATAATGCTTGATAAAATCTTTCCATTTGCTAGTATTCTACAATTCTCTTTTAGAATTCACAAGTATTCTAAAATACCAAGTGATCTCTTCCAAGTGAGCTCTATTTAAGTATGGATATAGTGGAGGCATATGCGATACTCTTACTGGCACTGGTTTATAAAGCATGTCAGTAGTAATACAGTAGATGTTGCTTCTATAATATGCAGTCCTTGGGTGCTATTGTAAGACAATTCCAAAACAAAACCCTTTTTATTCTTTAGACCGGAGGATTTTCTGGTTCCAGAACTTCAAGCAACAGAAGAAGAAAAAAGCAAATTAGAGTCTGGTTTGACAAATGGAGAAGAACCCGTGGACCAGGATTTATCAGATGTTCCTACCAAATGTATTTCAGCAACAGAGTCCATGGAAATCAAGTGAGTGGCTGTGCTCTTGATTTAGGTGAACTCATAGCTAAGAGGGTGCTGGTGGGAAGGCAGGTGCAGTGGAACCAGTGTTCGTTTGCTTTGTCTCTCTTCCAGTGTTAGTCTCCAGTTCTTTAGACGTCCCATGTGTGGAAGGTGTCTTATAAGATATACTTATTTGAAGATATTTGTTACTTAGAACTTGTGATTTAGCAGAGTGATAGAGCAGTGTACTGAAATCACAAGGCAAATGTAAGTTGTGCATAGCAAAATGCAGCAATTTCAATATGTGGTCAATTGTAGTGCAAAGGGATCCCCATTACTGATCTCTAATATGCTCACGCTCGTGGTGTTGGGTGTTGCCAGCTGCTCAGAGGGAATATGTGGATTGAAACCAGCTCAAGCTTGTCCCTTTCTTCAAACTTCTTTTGCTAGTTATTTTTTTGTTCATTTTGATTTGCCTTTTTTTATGCTGTTGGACTGTATCATGGGGACGAGTGGGAAGCTGGGAGAAAAGGCAACCGGTGCAGCGTACATGTCAGCACAGTTAGTCAAATGTATTGTTATGTAATGTGCAGATGTATTTCTAGAAAAAAGACTTGTTCAGATACAATCTGTACTTCTGTCATGTTTTAGATAACTTGAAGTGCTTTGGGGGAATATATATATGTTAAGCTGTATACACATGCTGATATTTAACAATCCTGTGTTTTGTCTTTATCTACTTATCTATGATGGCTGAGCAGCTGTGAGGTATACCTTGTGCTGGCACCTTTTGTTTATTCTATTTTAAATATCTTGAAGTACTTTAAATTTCTTTATTTTTTTAATTGAAACTAGAGCTAGAGTTACCTATATCGACTATGAAGGGCGTTCAGATGGTGACTCAATTAAAAAAATTATTAACCAAATGAAGCCGAGACAGCTGATCATTGTCCATGGGCCTCCTGAAGCCAGTCTGGACCTTGCAGAGTGTTGCAGAGCTTTTGGTGGAAAAGATATTAAAGTTTACATGCCCAAACTGCACGAAACTGTAGATGCAACTAGTGAAACTCATATCTACCAGGTAATATATTAGAAACTTCTACTCGTGTAAAAGTCTATGGAAATGTCAACTTGTTTTACTGAATTCTTAAGAGATTTCTAATGCTTATATTTGAAACACAGTATGTGCTAACTGCATTTTAAGGTTGCTTGTGGAATCTCAAGAAGAACCTTTCTCAAAACAGTGTTTTCTGTGTTTTTTTAAGCTTAAGCTTTTAGTTTATTAGAAGTGACAAGGTTATGATTTTTTTGCAAAACACTTCTCTAGAAAGAGTTTTAATAATTTCCTCTTTACAAAAATAAAAACCTTCTGCCTAGAATTATTTTTTGTTTGATATTTTTATATCTATATATATATATTTCTGAGTGGATGAAGTAGTTTGGAGACATTGAATTAGGAAAAAGCTTGGGACACTAGAAATATCAGTGTCTTCTGAGGGTCTTGTGCAGCAAGGGTAAAGCTTTATAAGCTGCTGTGTCCTTCATACAGTTGCAGCCCTTATGCTGCTATCACAGTCACACAGTCTCATGTGGATAATGTTCTTGCAGAATGGGGCTTTCCCTAATGGGTTAAAAACTTCATATTTGCCAGGCAAGGCAGAGTAAACTAATGTGCTAATCACAATCTGATTTTTACAAAATCCCTTCCTGCAATAAAATATTATTTACCACTTGCGTATAGATGTTCAATTTAGAGTTGCTGTTTCCTCACCTGAATCCATTCAAAAAAGTTTCCAACTTACAAAGGCCAACTGAGGAATTCCTTGGCCACAAGAAAAATATTTTGGATAATTTTAAAGGGATTGCTCTCACTGTAAGTTTAACTCAACCTGGTAGTTGTGAAAGCTCTTTTCATTTAAGTAGCATCCAAAAAGTTACTGTTCCCTTACTTTCAAGTGGCAAGATGGGGGCTACCCACATCATAATTTATAAGCATTTAGCATCTTTCTGTGGTGATACTGCTTCCCTCCTTTCCCTCCCTAAAGGACTATGAATTAAAGGTGTCCAGAGGACACTGAGAGGAAAACTCCATATTTCTAAAGCTTGGAGTAAGGACTCTGTGAAATATCTTTTGCATTTCCTGTGAAATCAATAGTGTTTTTACTTTTGTCCAATCTAGGTCAGGTTAAAAGATTCCCTGGTCAGCTCCCTTCAGTTCTGCAAAGCCAAAGATGCCGAGCTGGCTTGGATAGATGGTGTCTTGGACATGCGAGTTTCCAAAGTGGACACTGGAGTTATTTTGGAAGAGGGAGAGCTGAGGGAGGATGAAGACTTAGAGATGCAGGTGGATGTGCCTTCTGCAGACTCCAGTGTCATTGCACAGCAGAAGGCCATGAAAAGCCTGTTTGGAGATGATGATAAGGAAATGTGTGAGGAGAGTGAGATCATTCCTACTTTGGAACCTCTGCCACCTCATGAGGTACAGAAACATTCCTGGTTTGGATTTGTTTTGACTCTTGTGTTCAGATTTCTTTCTGGTGCTTAGAGCTTAATTATTGTCTTTACTGAAATAAAAGTTCACCTGAAACTTTTTTTCTTTAAAGACGCTACTGTTCTATGTTCAAAATTTAAGCTTTTTATAGTGAAAATTCATTGGTGTCTATTACTAGTGCCTAGCATAATACAGTTGCCATCTAGTTAGTGATATAAGACCATAGTTAATTTTACTTGTTTCATTAATAGTTAGTATTTGTGGCTTTGGAAGCCAGTTGGTGCTTAGTTTCTCCTGGGTTTTGGCATGTTTTCTTGATGCTGTGAAAAATGCTTCATTTATTGTAATTAACAATACCCATCTTTGAGAAGCATGTGTTTTTATTTCTGTATAGTGGCTTGGGAGTTCATTCCTTTAATTTTTTTCATCTATGCTTAAATGAAAATATTGTGCATCTATGAGTATAATAAAAATGCCTCCTCATTGTATTATTACTTGAAGACACTCTTGCATACCCCGAATTGTAGCCTGTTTTAGCAGCTTGATAAATTTGAGAGAACTGTAAAGGCTGCTCTGGCTAAGGACAAGGGTGCCAGCGATATGTACTGCCAGCAACACTGTTTGCTGCAGCTCTGTCCCTGTGTCTGTTGTGGCTCACAGGAGAGATGTTCAGGGGCAGCTTTACAGTTTTCTTGAGCACAAACACAGGAGAAAACCTTTCTCATGCTTAATGGCTTCTAAGGCCTTCCTATTCTGCAAAGATCTTGCTGCAAGTGACAGAAAGGGAACTAATTCTGTAACTTACGACCCTGTCATAGCCTGTCCATGGGCCGTGTTGTTACTAACTGAATAATGAGGAAAACTGGAGCAGTGTAAGGTCGAAGCAGAGTGCTTACAAGTGTGTGCCTTGTTTCCAGGTTCCTGGTCATCAGTCTGTGTTTATGAACGAGCCAAGGCTGTCTGACTTCAAGCAAGTTCTTCTGCGGGAAGGTATTCAGGCTGAGTTTGTAGGAGGGGTGCTCGTGTGCAACAACCTGGTGGCCGTTCGCAGGGTAGGTGTTCTGTGTCTTCAGCTCCTCGGTAAATAATTCATTGCACGGATTCCAAGTGAAAATTAAGCATCTCATTGACATAATCAATTGAAACTTGTCTTTTGTTTCAGACTGAAACAGGACGCATTGGATTGGAAGGCTGCCTCTGTCAGGACTTCTATAGGATAAGAGACCTTTTATATGAGCAATATGCTATTGTCTAAAGGAAGTGCTGCGAAGTTATCTTGACTTGAACTTTAAAAGATAATGGGAATTTCTGTCTTCCCAGTTCTGACTTTTCATAGTTTTTTAATTTATACAGAGGAAAAATAATTCATAACGGACAGGTAACTACCCTGAACATGTAAATACCTGTTGCTCTGCACAAATCTGAAGGTACATTCCATGTTGCTGATTTTCAGTTATGCTGTGTCTCCTGCATAATACATTATACCTGAGTTTTCTGCCTTTATCAAATGTCCTTCAAGAAAGGTTCAATTAGGAGATATTTTGGCTTGATAGATTCAATACTAAAACACATTATAAAAATTAGATTGGGAAATGTGGACAGGTTGGGGTAGATTTTTTTTTTTTGCTTAGGGAGAGTCCCCTCTTTCAAACAGTAGAACTTAGATCAAGTAAGTTTTCAATAGGTTACTAGAAGCTAGACTACCTAAACTTTCTTAGTATTAACCTGTGTGCATATTAATTTTGCAGCTGCCTCATCTTACTTATTTATTCCACAACAGCATTTCTTATGCTGTATGAAATACTAGTCTTAGATTGAGGATGACTTTGAAAAAGTACTCTCATAAAGAGAGAAAACTAGATAAAATTGTCATGCAGTTTAAAATCTAGGAAATGTGTGCTTTGGAGTAACTCTAAAAGCTTACAGAACTTGTCTGCAACAGCTAAAAGTTACCTATGGTAAATCTGTGATCTGATTTAATGATTGCAACACCTTCATCTATGTATTGCTGTCCGTGTTGAGTGTGCAGTGAGCTGAGTTCAGGGATATTGTTCATCTTGAAATCTGACTTTATGTGATATATTTAATACTTTTTATGCCAGGTTTCATGTTAGCTGCATGTTTCGACAGTGGGATTTAATGTAGCTGCTGATGCTGGGGACTGACTCATCTTTAAGTGAAGATGAGCACAATTTTGGGTTGGCTAGATTTCTCAGAAAGCTGAGGGAATAATTTTGATGGAACTTCTGCATCCTAATGGCATCTGGAAAGTCTGTTTAATCCTTTCTCTGCATCTGCACGTGAACCACATGCTTGGAGCGTGCGGAGGGTGTTTTTGTTTGTTTTTACATAGACCACATATTACATTGCTGTTGTATATGTGTATGTTCAAAATAAAATCTCTTGACAAGTGGCAAAATATAGCCCTATGGGCTATCAATGGAAAGATACCTTATCTTGCAACTCGTTTTTGACTAATACTACTTTTTATCTGGTCTACAGGCTATTTATTCTGTTTAGGGTAGTAACTTAAAATTGGAGTCCACATTTCTTTTTTGTGTCTTTTTTTTGTTGTTGTTTTTAATATCTTGGAACTAGATATTAAAGAGAACACTTCTAAATGTGATGTTGAATGAGAATATATATTTTCCTGAAAAACAAAATGTTGGCTAGGGTTAGCTAAACAGTTTAACATTTCTGTCCACAGCTTAAAGGTGTTAATTTTGATTATACTGGCTGGCAGAACTACAATTTTGATTATACTGGCAGTCAGAACTAGTTTAAAATGCTCTGTTCTTTTGTAGCTATTTTGTAGCACTGCTGTGTGAATCTGCTTGATACTGGATGCTTGTTGGTGGATACCATTGTATTACTTCTGTTTTTGGCACAATTGAACTTTTATAAAGTGAGTTGTTTTGTACATAATCATGTTGGCCTTTACTTTGGGGGCATGGGCTGGGGGGAGATCACATGTGGCTGTGTAGAATGTATTATTAATAGAAAAACCCCTTAGGATATCGGACTTAAAATGGTACTCTTATTTAGAAAGAAATGTTTGTGATCGTGCTGTCTATCTGCATTTCTACCTCTCTTTCTTTTAATCTTTTAATTCAAATGCAACTAAGATTAACAGGAGGCTCATGGTATTGAGCACTGAATTCCTGCGTGTCCTGCTGCCTTGGGCCGTAAGGTGTATTTCCTGACTTAGGTGCTTTTTTCATTAATAATAAAAATCTTATAGGGGATATTATACACTCAACTACTTTGCTTTATTGCTCCTGAGGGCAAGAATATTAATTTATCATCCCAATTGGCTCTGTAAATTAATGACCATTTAAAAATATTTCCTATCATATGTCTTCAATAATTCAATTTTGGCAGCTGGGAAAAGGTTAGGGGGTCTGGAGATGCAGCAAATGCAGAGACTGCCTCCCCAGAGGCACTATTTGTGAGAAAATCTTAATTTTTCACTCATTTCCTACTGTCCCTCCTGTCTACTAGATATTAAGACATATTTCAAAGATTAAGGGAATGCAGAAGCAGTACTCATTAAAGGGGAGAAGAAGATGGAAAAAAAAAAACCCTAAACTAATCGGCTCCCATCATCTAAATATAGCTTTACCCTGAAGTTAAATAACTTTGTGGGTGACAGCCTCATTTTTAATCACTTTACTTTGACAGCATGTTCTTGAGGTGAGGTGAAGCTGAAAATTTATCTTTCTTTTCCTCTCTCTGAGCAATATTTAGACATACCAGAGTCTCTTCTCAAAATATGCTTTTAATAGAAAGATGGTATGTCTTGTGCTCAACTAGAGTGAGAGTGGAATGAGGACATTTGAGCTCTCCTTGCTGATAGAGCTCCCTTGGAAAGGTAGGATTTGTCCTCTACTAACTAATTGCTGTCAGACACTTTATCACTTGTAGATGGAATTCTAATGCTGCCCCCCACCCATCTAAGTAATTGGTGCAATGATTCTGCCCTAAAATGCTGCTTTTGCAGAATGAAGATCACGCTGAGACATGACACAATGTATATTAATATTTCACTTGGGAAAGGGGGAGTGTTTATTGCCTGGAGAGAATGCTAGAAAGGTCAAGCATGAGCCTTGGAGACTTCAGCACAAGAAATCTTACAGAAAAGGCCTGAAAACTGCATGATATTCTGTTTCATGGCTGCTACTGGTGTTTTGCAGTTCAAAAAAGGTGGTGGTGGGTTAACAAACAAATCTAACAGAGTTCCTATAAGCAGAACTTTATTGCCTGATCTGGGAACAAAATGTATAAGAAACTGTTGGTAGCACAAAATGTGATAATTAAACAGTAGATTACAGATCAAAATAATTTTTAAAATTGCCTCTTGACATTTGGCTTTACAAATATTTGAAGTACTAAAATAATCTCCCAGAACCTTTCTGTTTGTGAGAGAAATATGATTCAAAGATCAAAGTATGCGTCATTATAGTTCATCTGGTAAATGGGAGCCTCTGGGTGGGTTGTTTCCTATAAATACAAAGCTGGGTAGTTGGCTGATGCTTGTGTGAGCAGTGCTCCTTTTTATTTATTTTTTTAATTTTTTATTGGGGGTGGGGGGTGAGGAAAAGAAAGTGCTTATTCTCTCCAATGCATTTGTGAAGTAATTCATGCTTTTATTGAAAATGATCTCCTGTGAAGTTTGCTGGTCAGATAAATTTTTCATGAAGCGCTTAGGTTAGTCTAACAGTTCGCCATCGTTGCGTGGTAAAACAGTTTATACTATGAACTGTTAGTGTAGATGAACTGATCAGTGCCTACAGTTCCATCACTGTTTCCTCATAGTGCAAGGGGAGGAACACAGATACAGTATTTAAAGTATCTATTAATTGATCTTGACTTTTTTTTTCCAAGTTTGACAAATACGGGAGATATGAACATATGGGAGAACTAGATGTTTCGTGCAGTGTATTATCAGTTATATTATCTTTGTTAGATTATATATTACTGCTGTATTACGAAAGTAAAATCACCGTATTTCTTAGTAGTAATTTCAAAGAGATATGTAGCTGTTTTCCTTGAAAGGAGGCATCCATAGAAGCCCAAAATATTGTGGGGAAGCAAGTTCAGTGTGCGAACTTTAGAAGTAATAACCTGCCTGTCCTTGTGTAATCCTCTTAAGTGATACAAGTTGAATCTGTGGTTCAGCAGCTGAATGATTATTAGCTCAGTATCTGCCAAAAAGTGTAGTTGGTAACTGCAAGTCTGGGGTACAGAATTTTAATGGAGAAAATACTTGATTTCTGTAGCAAAAATTCAGCTTAGTGATATTTTACTTGTTTCCAATGCAGGTATTGTGAAGTGCTGCAAAGTTATCTAACAGGTGTTTCTGACATACACGGCGCTCAAGATATTTGGAAATACGGCAGTTCCAGTTAGGAGAGCTTTCTATTTGCCTCAGCATAAGATCAACAGCAGCATTCTTTAAATTGACTTTAAAAAATACATAGGGAAATCAAGGAGTTCTAGCATTCTGTGTGTGGTTGTGGCTATGGTGCCCATGCTGGTGTTTAACAGCTAGGAGAAAAGGCATAGTATTTAATGTCTAGTCAGAACATGCCCATCTCCAGTATGTAAACTCAATCGGTATCACTTATTATATGCTAATTCAGTAGAATTTTTTCTTTTGTATTGAATGAGTTTGTGGTCATATTAAGGTGTCAATTACATCAAAGTGTCATGAACAAATACTTGCAAGAAAACACAGCATGTAAGTAAATATATATTGTGCACGTATGAGTATATATATATATATATTTGAGATCAGGTTTTCAAGCTGATGCCCTCGGGCATCATCTCAGAGTAGTCACTTAACTTGGTTCCATTTTGTGCAAGGAGTTCAGCTGGCTCAGCAACTGGAACAGGCAATGTTGTGAAATAGCTGTGGGCCATCTAGGAAGCTGCCGTGCTGTGTAAATCAGAACAAGATTGCCAACAATCAGAATAACCTGATCTAGAAAAAGCATAGATCCCTGCAAATGTCTTCCTGCCAAGAAAAATAGAGGCTTAATAGATGTAAAATTGAACATTTGTGTTGTAGGATTTGCTTGAAGCTGTGGTTCTATGTAATGCTGTAACTGTTTACTCAAATTGGGGATGCTGTTGCTTCTCACTCTAGCTCTTCCTGCTTTCTAGAAAGAATAGTTGGCTTCAGAAGTTACTAGCCAGAGAACAGGAATAATACTCTTAATGTATTTTACAGGAATTGCTTCAAAAACTTTTTCTGCAATGGTGGTTCATCTGGTTCAGTTTTACAGTGCACTCAGGTGTATTAGTAAAGCTTCTCAGAAATAATTCCATAGAAGGGCAGGCAAGCTTTTGTATCAACAGTAATACTCAAGATAGAGCAAAACTATACCAAGGATTTCAGAGGATCCTTGAAAGAAAATTATGGAATGTTGATAGAACTTGGTCCTCCTTAAAACTCCTTAGGCTTCGCCTTGAGCTGGTTCATTACTATTTCTGCCACTATTTTGTCAGAAATAGGCTTTCAAAAAGTATTTATAATGACATTAATCAATGAGCAATTGCTTGAGCAATTACTCAAGCAAAAAAAGGGCAACTACTAGTTGGTCAGTGGGAGCTGGGCAGATGCTTCAGGATGTGACTAGGAAAGTGTTTTCACTGTGTGTCCTCCCTCTCAAGACAGTGGGAGGTGGCCCATATGGCAACATGGCCTCCTGGCTCACGTTTCTACAATATTCTTTGGACAACAGTTATAGCTTGAAGTAATTAATTGTATTAGGACAACACTGATGTACTTTCTGTTACCAGGAAGCTCTCTTGTTGCTAATGGAAAAAGAGCATGATGAGGCTAGTGCTTTGTAATTGGCAGGTGCCTTGCAAGCCATAATGATCAAATATCTCTTAAAATCAGTTGTGTATTAATTTTTTTTTGCCATTTTGCTGCTCTTGCAGAAGCTGCACAGCTGGCAGAGCACCTTGCCTGTCCCCACGGCAGGCTCGGTGCTTCAGAGCCTGCCAGATTGCCTGGCGAGTCCTGCCGGCCATGCATCACTCTGGTGCAACAATGTGAAGATAATATATATAAAGATAATTATAGGAATTATATGAGCATAATAAGATCTTTATTTGTGTGCACTTCGTGCACACAAGCTAACACTGTACTGAGAAAAGAAGGAAGAAAGAAAACAAAATCCAAACTTTTTCCTGAACCAGCTGGATCCATGTGTTACCTGACTAGGTGAGCTCCTGTGCTGCAGGAAGCTGTAGAGACAAATGTCATTCTTGGTGCAGCCTGGAAAAATTACTATTGGTAGCAAAGTTTGAATCATTTTGTGTAGCCTGCTTTCCACATTTTATATAATTTTATTGTATTACAGTATTTCTTTCATAATCTCCATGATTTTACTAATGCACAATATTGCAAATGCACTATAAAACTAGTCAACAGACTTTGAATCATTTGTATATCTCTAAACCTCTTATGCTGATTAAAAGTGTTAAGGCTATTAGTATTTTTTATGTAACTGGGTCTAAATTTAGTTTCTGTTACAGTCAAAAAACCTCTAATATTGCAAAGCATGATTCTAATCCTCTCCCTCTTGGATCTGATAGCAGCAGTCCCTCAGACCAGCTTTAGTGTTTCTCTGAATTGGCATCTTGAATAGTTAACCTTGTCATAGAAATTCAGAAGTGGATTTTCACAATTCTGCTTTCTAGGAG